GTCTCCAGGAATAGACAGAACACAAATTGAAATATTTCAACAAATTAATGCAGTACTGGAGGCACTCACTTGTCTATGCCAAGAAATCTGGAAGAAAGTTACATGGCTAACAGACTGGATGAGATCCATATTTATGCCCATTCCAAAGAAAGATGACCCAACAGAATGTGGAATCATGGAATATATTATTAATATTATATGCAAGTAAAAGTTTGCTGAAGATTTGCATGGCCCCAGTCAGTCATGTGTGGGAGTTACAAAGACTATAAAAACCATAGCAAGTAATTTACTAAAGATAATTACAAAAATGGTTACAGCAGTACATGGACAGTAAGCTACCAGAAATTCAAGCCCGATTTAGAAGACATGGAACAAGAGATATCACAGATGACTCTGAAGGTTCTTAGGTAAAAGCAGAGAGTAACTTAGAGTAGAGAGGTTTACTTATGCTTTATTGATTAAACAAAGACATTCGACTGTGTGCATCATAACAAGCTATGGATAACATTGCACAGATTGGGAATCCAAAACACTTATAAATTAATTTTATAGGATATCTAAGGCAATGATAAGTGATACGAAGAAAAATAAAGCAGGAACCATGGATATATTGCGGATGGGGTAGTTGAAGATGCCCTCTTGTACCGGGTAATATTTGAGCACAAAGCTGATATAAGTGAAGGAAGGCAATGCAGACAAGAACTAGGAAAAGATATTCAAGGGTAAGTGTGACTATATACAGACAGATCTGGAAGTGTGAAGGCCTTTTGAAGAGTTATTTATCTTTATAACTCTATCAATAACCAGAGACTGACAAAAGTACAATAAAGTTTTGGTGAGTTAGTGCTGAGTCCTGGTGTAGCACTGTAGGTTAAGTACTGGAATGCTAACTGAAAGGTCGGCAATTCAAACTCACCAGCTGCTCCTCGGAAACCCTATATAGGTTGCTGTTGAGTCAGAACTGACTTGATGGCACTTAACAACAATGCTGAACACATGGTCTAAAAAGAATATCACTCCATTTCACCTTCAGTGGTTCCCTCTAGCTTGCTGTTCTGCCATCAAGTCAGTTCGGACTCACAATAACCCTGCATAGTTTCCGAGGCTGTAAATCTTGCAGAGGCAGAAAGCCTCATTTTCATTCTGCTGTGGTTGGTGGGCTCCAATTGCCAACCTCATGGTCCAGTGCTTTTCCTATAGAGCCACTATGGACAAAATACGCAAACTGCAGTATGCACTGTATTTTTCTGCTGAGAATATTCTAATAAGCAGCTGTTTTTTAAAGTGGTTCCTCAATGATCTCTTGGACTCTTCCAGAACCTCAATTTTACAGCCTCTGTGGTATATTAGAGCGGGGTGGAAAAGTCCGTGAGAAAAATGGAAGTTTTCCATCAACATTTTGAAGCCCCCTCATATAAGGAGTCCTCGTGGTGAAGTGGTTAAAGCACTTGGCTCCTAACCATCAGCTCTGTGGGGAAAAGATATGGCAACCTACTTCAGTAAAGATTTACAGCCTTGGAAATACCATGGGGCAGTCATACTCTACCCTATAGGGTCTCTGTGAATTAGAAACAACTTGATGGCAATGTGTTTTTGGTTTGGGTGGTACATAGAATGAGCCCAGGGCACAGTGATAGGCAATTCAAACCCACTGGCCACTCCACAGGAGAAAGATAAGCCAATCTGCTTCTATAAAGATTGCTGTTCAGTGCCGTGGAGTCGGTTCCAAATCTTAGCAACTATGTACAGCATTTCCTAGGAGAGGCTGGTAAGCTTAAACCGCCAATCCTGCAATTCAAATTAACCTTGCAGTCCAGTGCATTAACCGGCAGTATCACACCAGGACTCCAAGAAGTGTTTGTTGTTGTTGTTAAGTGCTGTGGATTTGGTTCCAATTCACAGCAACCTTGTATAGCATTTACACCGATCTTTTGGTTCAAACCGATTTTGCAGTCCAGTGCATTAACCCACAGGGCCATACCAGGACTCCTGGAAGAAGTGCTCTGTAAAGATTGTTGTTGGTGGTGTTAAGTGTCATCGAATCAGTTTTGACCCATAGTGACTCCTAGGATTTCCTAGGAGCATCAGGTGAGCTTGAACCACGGAACTTTGGTAAAGAATACACCCTAGGAAATCCTATGGGGCAATTCTACCCCCTCCTGCTATTGTTATTGTTGAGTGCCACTGAGTTGGTTCCAACTCACAGGCATACTCACATAAAGGGTTTCCAAGGAGCAGGTGGTGGGTTTGAACCACAGGTCTTGAGGTCAGCAGTCCAGTGCTTTTCGAGCAACACCACGCCAGAGTCTTCAGTATTATGTCCTTTTAAGATCTATATGGGATCAAAATAACAACAGTAACCCAAAAGTTCAGCTAGAAACCTGAGGAGACAGTGACCTATGTTAATGGAGAGGAACAACTCAGAAGAGGAGGGTGAGAGTGTAATCAACATGACTGAACAGGACATGGAGAAATGGTTGAATGGAGGTTATATTTTGCTGTGTATAATCTCAACAACAACAAAAATAAATTGAAAACAAAATATTGACTGTATAACTTCTAAATTGATTAATCCTTTCATGACCAAATTATATTTTGCTTTGAAGTTTTTGTTGATACCAAGTGTTTCCAGTAATAGTTGTTGTTAAGTGCCGTCGAGTCGATTCTGACTCATAGTGACCACGTAGAGGGTTTCCAAGGAGTAGCTGGTGAGCTGGAACCACCAACCTTGAGGTTCAAACGACTTTCAGTAATAGTAGGCATGCTGTGGGTTAATGGGCCAAACTGCAAAGCCATTTGAACTGCAAGGTTGATGGTTCCAGCTCACCAGTTGCTCCTAGGAAACCCTATACAGGGTCGGTATGGGTCAGAATTGACTCGACAGCACTTAACAACAACAAGCATGCTGAAATCAAGGGAAATCTTACTTTTGAGGTAATATGGATTTTGATACAATTACATGGGACACATATGTCCCATTCTGGTGGTTGGATTGGTGGGTAAGGCCCACTTCTACAGATTCACACCGTGTAGCACTGTAGGAGCTCTGGTAGTATAGTGGTTACGAATCGAAATACCAGCCACTCCACGGGAGAAAGATGAGGCTTTCTGCTCTGGTAAAGATTTACAGCCTCAGAAACCCTGTACAGGGTCGCTATGAGTCAGAATCGACTTCACAGCACTTAGTAACAACAGCACTGTAGGATAAGTGCTGGACTGTGGTCATAAGGTCAGCAGTCCAAACTCGCTAGTTACTCCTCGGAAACCTTGTACAGTGTCTCTGAGTTGGTACGGACTCTACAGCACTTAACAACAATTAGGTGGTAGCAGGCACTATACCTAGGATAACTGCTCCCCAAGACACCTGAGAGGCTGAACATGTTGGTGGGTGATACATACTCCATGAGCCACGAGTCACAAAAGGGTTAATAAAATCTTCAAAAAAGCCATATCCCACAAGAGCCTTAAGGTATCAGAGAAGAGTACATCTCTCTTTCAAAGAGGCTTAATAGTAGTTGCCAATAAGGGTTTTCATAATTATCTTTTATAATGCTGTCTCATGGGTCCCTTAATATTTTTTCCTCTGGCTGAGCTGGGGAGGTTAGTCAAGTTCTCAGGGGAATTTTTATAGACTAAATGAATGTTTAATAGCTGGAGGAGGAAGGGGACAGAGACTGTGCATTAACAGTGGAGGTGATGTGTATGGTTGGCAGGGCCACACCCAGTCCATAAACGCTTTTCCCTGTCTTCACATGCTGCCTCCACCTTTCCTTAGTCCAGTTTTTCTACCAACTTTCTTTGATCTCTTTCAAGAGTCGATAAACAACTAGCCAAAAAAAAGGGTGGTGGTGGTGGTGAGGAGAGATACAGAATTTATTCTTTCATTCTTTAGAAAAGAAGAAAAATCTTATTATCAGCCCATATCCCCCAGATACAGGGTAAAGTGCCAACTGTTAAAACAGTCTGTCCTCAGCTGCAAGTCTGCGACAATGACTAGTGCCTGAACAAAACATATAGCAAAGCACACAGGATTTGGTAAATCTCCTACTGCCAATAAAAGCAAATAAATTCCCTTCTAACTCATTGCAAACAATCTCCCCAAAAATGAAGACCGGTAAGATCGGAAACAACGATTTTTTAAGATTTTGAAAGGTACAGGAGAGGTAAAACTACCTCCCAACGCGCCTCAGAGCGGAGGCTCTTTAATGAATATCTACCCGAGACTTCCCCCCACTCACTCCATGTGCCCCTTTAACTCCCTTCTACCGTCCTCACCCTCGCCCACCAGTACCGATTGCTTGCTCTGTTACCTGTTCACTAAGGTTCGTGATTTAGGCAAAAGTATGCAGCAGAAGTGCCGGCCGGCAAAGAAAGGGTGCAGGGAAAGGGCGCAGGGAAGCTGCGCGGCCCGCGAGTCCCACTTCGGAAGACGCGCGCTCAGCCCTCCACGAGGCTACAGAACCGCATTCTGATTCCAACCATCTATCTCCGCCCACTTCCTAGCCAAGCCCCACCCCTCGGCAAAAAACTATTTTAGCCCTTGGCAGGCGCCGTAGTTCATCTCCGTCCAACCGGTTATCTTGACTCTTTCTGCGCCAAATCGAAGTGAGAACTGCGGAGCCTTGGTGGGCGGACAGCCTTGGTAGCGCCTCTCACGATTCTCTCCCAGCCCCTGCAATCAGACCCCTCGGGGTGGGGCAAGTGTCTTCTGGGTCTCCTGTGCAGTGGCTCCAGCGTTAACGCTTCGTCGTGCTGCTGCTGCCGAAGCTGCTGTTGCTCTGCACCTGAGTGCGGACCAGTGCAGTCTCAGCGCTCTAAGGAGCTTGAGGGAGGTGTCCTTCCTCCCCCGCACTCTCTGCATCCTCTGCCCCTCCTTGCTCTGTGCCTCCTCCCTGGCTGCGGGCAGACAGCTCCACACCACCGCAGCGCCGAGGTTCTGGCCAGCCCGCAGGAGGCACACACGCCCACACCTACCCCGCCTGGCTGCACCCCTGCTCAGCATGTCGGCGCTCGAGTGGTACGCCCACAAGTCCTTGGGCGACGGCATCTTCTGGATTCAGGAACGCTTCTACGAGTCCGGCAACCGAGCCAACATCTGGCTAGTGCGCGGTTCTGAGCTGGACGTGGTAATCGACACGGGTCTGGGGCTGCGCAGTCTCCCCGAATATCTGTATTCCTCAGGCCTCCTGCAGGACCGCAGAGCCAAGGAGGACGCGGAACACCGGCCGCTGCTGGCTGTGGCCACTCATGTGCATTTCGACCACTCTGGCGGCCTCTACCAGTTCGACCGGGTAGCTGTGCACCACGCTGAGGCCGAGGCTCTGGCTCGCGGGGACAACTTTGAGACGGTGACCTGGCTATCCGACAGCGAGGTGGTGCGAACGCCCAGCCCTGGCTGGAGGGCCAGGCAGTTCCGAGTGCAAGCGGTGCAGCCCACCCTCATCCTGCAGGATGGTAATGGGCCCCTTGGGCACGCGCTGTTCTCGTTAAGGGAGGGGATGGCCTAGGGATGCATGTTGCAGACCTGCGTGGCTGTGATGGGAGCTTGTTTGGGTCAGCACAGAAACGCCACTTTTCATCTTTCCCGGAGTAAAATGCCCACCAGACCAGCGCAAAGGCTGTCACAACCATTCTTAGCGAGACTGCTGTGTACGGATTCTTAATAGGCAAGTGAAAGCTGGCCCCACCCCCTAGTCAGTTTCCTGTGTCATTTACAGTAGTAACACTTAGAGTGATTTGTGACCAGGATTTCCCATTCTTTTCAAGCAGCTATCTGATATTTCCAGGCATCTTTGTAGCGAGAAGGCTTGTAAAAAAAAAATGACGCCTCACAAAGAGTGCATATCACGCTCTATGCTTTTGAGAAATACTGACTTTATCCGCTCAGTCACCACCCAATATGAGCAATTTCCACCTGTAGGTTTAGAAGGCAATCAGAGCAAAAGGCTCCAATCTGATTTTGCAACCTCATCTTCAGATAGGTTCCTGATCTTTATGTTGCCTCAGGAGAGGAAAAAGCTTGACTGTAAACATAAAGGTAGAAGATAACTTGAGTCTTGTGTGGTCTGTTTGAAAGCAAAGCCTGAAAAAGATTAAAGGGAGATTGTAGTGGTATGTGGCCTAATACATAGATAACCCTGGTTCTCCATGCCTCTGTGAATGACAGGAGACATTTATGGAATAAAACAGAGTAGGGCCCCAACCTCTCCCCATCGTCTGAAAATTAAATAATTGAGTTGATTAGCCACAGCAGTGATTTCCTTTTTCTATATTCAATAAACAATAAGTTTATTGATCTTATTTTATCCTCACAACAAATTTGAAGCAAAAAACAGACACCCCAAAAAATGGCTTGCTAAAGTCCGTACAACAAGATAGTGGCAACAGTTAGGATTTGAGCCAAAGCACATAAGACCTACAATATAAGTATATTAGGAGAATTCTGAATAGGATGTTAAACCCTTTACTTTCTACCTTTAAACTTACTCTTATTAATAAGTTCCTTTATATGCTAGAAAACTCCATCTGCTGCTGTGTAGTGAGGTACTAGAGCTAAGTTTATGAACAAAAAATACCACAAATACTAAAATATTACAAACTCATATTATCTTGTGGACAGGGTTTTGATCATTGGTGTTATTTAAAAAAAAAAAAAAAA